GGCTGGATAGTGTGCATGGGTTTCCGGATCTCAGGCGCCAGACGAACCTGAGTGACCGTCCAGGCCGGGCCAGGGGGCCAGGCTGAGTCTGAGGGAGTGACCCTGTCTCCTGCCCAGGAGTGTCATGCCCAGGAAACCAGAGGGCCAGAGAAACAGCACCCATGCCATGAACGAGGCTCGCCTTTACCAGCCGGCGATGCACACGGTGGGGCAGGAAGTAGGGCTTTGGTTAAAGGAGAAGCTCAGTCCCTGTGCCTTGGTGGCCCTGTGGGACTGGACAGAGCTGGAGAGTAGACACCAGGGTCAGACGGGAGCTCGCTCTAGCCGTGGTTCTCGGCTACGGCCTCTGGAAACACAAGAGGCTTTCTCGTCTCGCAGGGCGGGAAGTCCCACTGGCACTTAGTGCTCCAGGGCCGAGGACGGCAAATGCCCTGCAACACTCAGACAGTCCCTGGCACCCCAGATGCCAAAACACCGCGGGAAAAGGCTGAGAATGTAGGATACAGAGTAGGTTCTAGTCTACTCATTACATGACCTTCAGTGTGGCACTTGACTTTTCTACTCCTCTGTTCCCTCAACTGCAGAGGACACCTGCCTTCCATTATCCCGGGACAATGTTGAGAGAAAGGTCGGGGTGACAAAGCCCTCCATAACCCATCAAGTACCACACAAGGTCCTACGTGCTATTATCAGACAGCTCAGGGGCCACCAGTCTTTGCTCCCACTATTGGAGCTTGGCGAGTACGAGGTGGTGATCCTGGCTTCTGCTGCAGGGACCCAAACTTTCTAGTGCAAGGTCACTCTGAAGTCAAGGCTTGAGGGCAGACGGAGAAGCTGATTTTAGTCCCCTCTCCTGCCACCTTCTCCATGCACACTATCAGCCCGCACCTGGGGACGCCTGACTCCTACACCACGTCTCCCCTTGAGAACCGCAGGAAGCTGTCACCTTCTCCTGCTCAGCTCCTGGGCCTGCGACAGAAGCCACAGGCTGTACTGTCTGTCACGTGTGCTGCAGACAGGGGGCTTCAGGGAGCCTTGGGGAGCAGCCTTCAAAGGGGGCCAGAGACAGAGACACCCCAGTGCCGAGCAACAAAAGCAGAGAATTCAATTGTCACTTACCCCCACGAGTACTTCTTAGCACATCAGCCTCAGTTTGGCCTCTAATTCTCTGAGTCTCAAGGCAAACTAAGGCCCTGATAGAACTCTCTAGAACCCCCCCTTATTCCCATGTCCTCAGGAGCTCCTTAGAGCAGTTTTCAGACAGCAGCCCATGTTCTTGGATACCTCTCTCCACCCAGGCTGGAGAAGAGCAGGATGTTTGGTCAAAAAAAAAAGGAAAGGTGTGGCTTCCCTGACCCCAACAAACACCAGAAAATACCTTGCTGCTCCCCCGGCCTCTACACCTAATACATGCTCAGGGACCTGCATTTGCAACATGCATTTGCATTTGCAGCAGCAGGTTCCCAGAGGAGGCCACTCGGGGCTGGCCAGCCCTTATCTGTGATGTGCGTGCAGCCGCCTTCCTGGGGACCTGCAGGCACCAGCCTCACGGCCAAGACTTCTCCCTCCACCTGCTCATCAGGCTCTGGCCCTCCAAGTGGCTTCATGGGTGTCCATGGCACCACTGGCCAAGCCACACAGGGGTTCTCCTTCCCATCCCCAGACACGGCTGTAGTGGGTGCCAGATCCCATGGGGCAGGCTCGGAGTCCAGGGGTCATGCAGCTGCCACCTGCTCAGAGCTCAGAGCTCAGGAGGCATGAGTTCGGGGCAAGAAGTGTGGGGCTCAGGAAAGAGTAGGGGCCAGGAAAGCCTGAAGAGCACCCGATGAGTGTTCTAAGCTAGACCCTCAGTGCGACAGGGAGAGCAGTCAAAATCAGTGCCAGTCACATCCCCTTGTCAAGCTTTGTGAGTTGTAACTGCACTAAAACCCACAGGTCGCCCCCACCCTGCACAGCACCAGTCCTGGAAGTCAGCGCCCCGGCCTCGCCCTCTGCTCCCCGTCCTCCTGCAGCAGACACCGCACAGGGCAGAGGCCACCTGGGATTCGGTCCCCAATTCACAGGCCTCAGGGGAGACTCACACTCAGGGACAAAAGAGAACTCCAGAGTTCACCTGGCCCACCCTCTGCCTCTGGGCAGGAGGGGAAAGGCAAACCAGCCCAACAGCCTTGCCCCTTGCAGGGGGAAAGCTGTGTTTGCCAACGGTGCCGGCAGCTGCCCTGGGGCAGCCCGGGAGCCTGGCCTGGCTGCTGGCGGGTGGAACACGTGTGGTCTAAGCCGAGTCCAGATGAATTGCTACAGGAGGGCCAGAGCAAAGGAACGCGGGGAGCTGCCAAGTCAAAGGAAACTGATACTGTGCATTAAAAGCCAGCCTGGCCTTTTTGAGACTGGCTGGGGAGACAGCCCCAGCCTGGCGCAGTTTCTGGCCTCCTCCTTTTTACGCCCGGCCCTGAACTTGCCTCTAACTTGAAAGGGCTAATTAAAGCTAAAGAAAAATCAAAAGCTTGTTATCTGGCTCCATTACTCCCAGTCCTGGCATTAGGCTGCTTTGCAAAGCTGTTTTCTATCTGTTCTCTCCAAGGCCACCACACCGTGTTAGGACCTGCAGCTCTGCAGACTTCCATGATGAACTTGGCTCTCTGTGTTGTGGCCAGGAGCAAGGGCAGACAGACACCTGCCCACCGGCAGCCAGGCAGATCCCTGCTGCCAATCTTGCTCCCAAAAGCACCACCTAGAAAGATAGGGTTTGGAGCAAGTTTTCTATAGAGAAGTGTCAGAGATTGCCAATCCCTCTGAGCTCAAAAGAAGGAGTTGTTTAGTAAGCACACAGCATAAACTTTCCATTTTCTAATGTAGTCTGTTGGCGGGGGGAGAGAGGGATGGGGGGCTAGTTATTGCATGTGCGCATGTCCTTCAGGCATGAGGGACTCTCCTCAAGTGCTGGCCCTGCCACTCAAAGATGTGTGACCTTGGCCAATTCATTCCCCTTGCTGGGCATTAAGGTGCTTGGGTACAAAATGCAGGTATAGACCAGGGGCTCCCTAAGAGCCTCCTCGACACTCGCACTCAATGCATCTCCCCATGGACCTGTGTCTGAGTGTGGAACACACATACGCACACAGCACAGCTGCTGTTCTGTCATTGGCTGCCTTCATTTAAGAGCAGTCCACGGCCCCCTAAGTTCATAACGCTGTCAAACAGACTTTCTTGAGTGGATCAGCTACTGCCCCAAACAAAAGGCCCCAGGAGACATTCTCAAAGGTATTCCCAAAGGTTAAGCCACCTGTGAGGAGGGCTCAGTAGGTACAGTGGAGTGCCCTCCCTTGTCTGGCTCTCATTTGTCCATCTGTTGCAGTCCTGCTTGGTCCCTGGCACCTCTCCTATTGCCTTGTGATATGAGAGGTCTTCTGGCTTTTTAGGACCTCCAAGAAGAGATGACATGTTTTAGTTTCAGCCCAGGTACCTAGAGAACAGCCTGAGCCAAAATGTGAGGGCACCACAGGCAAACTGCTGAGTTCCATCTTTCTCTTCCATCTCCCCTGCCTCCACCCAAATTCCAGAGACCAGAGGAATGGCCCCACCACAGTGGCTGGGGAGAGTGCCAGTCCCCTCTGAGACCTGTGTGGCATATGGTGATACTTTGTGAAGGGAAACTTACACTTTTTAAATCAATCAAAATACATTTTCCTAATATGAATTGCACCAACGTTTGAAGAGTCAAGAGTCACATCAGTACAAAAGCATCTGATGGGTGAATTTCCATCTGATGGGTGAATTTCCCTTTCTTCTGCCCAATTAGGATTACAAGATAGATTTTTCTCAAACTAGGTTCATAATTTTTTTTTAAATGGACAACTAAAAAAAAAAAGAAAAGAAAAGGGATTAACCCAGAAGATGCCAACAGCTGAGTCTTCCAAGTCACTTGAAGAATGATTGTGAAAAAAGGTGCCATTATTTTTTTTGCTCTTGTTTTTGTTCATATTTTATATTTACTTTATTTTTTTATTTCAATATATTACAGGGGTGCAAATGTTTTGGTTACATGGATTGCTTTTGCACTGCTTGAGTCAAAGTTATTTTAAAAAGGAGCAAAAGTCAAGCCACAAAAAGATGCTTTTCATGATGGGTCACAAGTGAGTTAGGTTGGGAGAGACAGGAGCCCTGTCCCCTGTTCCACCTGTGGTCCCACAGCAGGGCCACAGCCTTACGTCTGCCTACCCTCTGGCCCCACAGGCAAGAGCAGGACCTAATCCCACCCTTCATCCTGCCCTGTGCAGTTCCGACGCCTTCCTGTCGTCCAGTGCTACTCTCTGGCTCCTTCCTGACTGTGTGATGTGTCTCTTCATGGCACTGTGTGTACAGAAGATGCTTAATAAATATGGTTTGTCCCCTCCTGTCCCTTTTCTAAGCAAGTTCTGCTTTTCCTATATGTTCACTGGATTCTTACTATACTGCATCTGACCGCAACTCACCATTTCCTAAAGACACCAAAGAGCTAAAGACACACCTCTCCCGAAACTCCACATCTATTCCAAATGTATGATGACTCCTCATGCTCTCTTCTGCCCCCTGCCCCTGGGGTTTATTCTAAGCTCCCAGGAAAGTGATTCGCAGGCCTGGTGGGTACGAGGGATGGGTGCGCATCTTGTACTGTGGCACGTTGTAATCTAGCATCCAGCCATGCCCACTGCACACGACATCTGCTCGACACAATTCCTACCTATTCCCAGCACGGCCTCTCATAACCAGCGAGCCAAGACGGAATAGAGAAAAGTGCCCAACAGGAAATCTGTTTTAGCTCCAGCTCTGACTCTTACATGCTCAGTGTCACAGTCACAGAGTGAGCTGGTGGTGCTCTGAATGCAATGAGCCCCAGGGCCGGGCTATACTCGTCTCATGTACAAAAGGGGATGGGTGACACACACCCTACAGACGCTGCAAGGCTCGGGTCCTCATCCTCCACACCCCACCACCCCAGCCCGCTGGCCCCCTCCACTCACCGCACTGCTGCAGGGGATGTCCTTGACCTTGAGCCAGGCCAGGTCCAGCGTGCCCTCACCCCGGTAGCAGGACTGCAGCCGCTCCTTAATGCGGTCGTTGATCTGCTTCAAGATGAAGATGCACAGGGCCGACTCGTCCAGGGATTTCATCTTGCGCTTCTGGCCCTTGGAGAAGACAGTGAAGAGCAGGTCATCGTCTGGACGGACTCCAAGGGTCCGGCCAAGCACGGCCCCAGCTTTGGACAGGTAGGCGGCCTGCAGCAGGCGGTACTCCACCCCGCTGCGCTCACAGCCGATGGGCACCTCCACGTAGGAGTTGAAGGCCGTGTCCTCCTTGCACAGCCTCACGAGCTTGGACGTGTAGACCTGCTCCTTGGTGGTGGAGCCTGGGGGAGACACCATCTCAGGCTGAAGGGTTAGAAAGTAGACAAAGTTACCACTGCTGAAACCATAGACGTAGTAGATATCAAAGTCAGGGATGACGGTGAAGGTGTCCGAAGGGATCTTGATCATCGAGGCCACAAACTCATCATGGAAGACATAAGCGAACATGCCGTCCGCCTCCGAGTTCTTGGTCAGCTTCCGGCTGGAGATGGTAGGGAAGTACTCGGGCTTCCCGTCCACTGCCGTGGCGATGAAGAGCTTGTCGTCCAGGTTGCTGTAGGAGACGATCACGCCGAAGACCGAGCCGCTCTCGTTGACGCCGGACAGGTAGTGCTCCTTCTTGTGGAAGGGCTCCCCCAGCTTGAAGAGGTCCTCCAGCCGCAGCAGCTTGCAGATGCCCTGGTACAGGCTCCCGCACGCAATCAGCCTGTTCTCCTTGTAGTCTATGAGGAGCATCTTGTTGACGTTATTGGTGGTGGTCAGGGGCTCGCTGCAGGTCTGGACGAGGCGGGGCGGGTAGCACTTGGGGTTGTCCTCATCTGGCCCTGTCTGGTGGGTCACCAAGACCTTCAGGTCACTGGAGAGCTTGTAAATCCGGTTGACGGCCCCCAAGTAAATGTGTCCTGTCCTCTCGTCCACCACCAGGTGGTTGAAGCCCTCGGCGGGCTCCCCTCGGAAAGTGACAAAAGACCGCTTCTGGGACGGCGGGGACGGCTGCCGGGAGAGCAGCGTGGAGGAGCCCATCCCCACCATGAGCAGGTGGGACAGCAGGCAGGTCCAGTTCCAGGGCATGGCTTTCATTGCAGAGACGGTCCTGGCGGCAGAGCAGCACTCGGGTGCGGCCGTCCCCTCGGAGGGCCAGGACTCAGGAGTGCAGTCTCCCCTGCAGGAGAGAGGAAAGACTGTGACTGACACTGGGTAGCGAGGGCAGCGCCTCCATTTCACCCCATGGCTGTCTGGCTGGACTCTCAAAGCGCTCGGTGCACAAGGAACAGAGCACACTGGGGGTTGCTGGGGGGCGCTGGGGGGCACTGGGGGCACTGGAGGCCGACTGAGCCAGCCCCCACCACGGCATGTGAGACAGTCAGAGCTGGGTGGCAGCCACCCCAGGAGGGACATGTCAGTAGTAATAGCAGTGATGATGATAATGATAATGGCAATAATAACAATGATGATGATCTACAGCCACTGCCCGAGTGCCTGGATTTGTGTCCGAGACTGTCCAGCACCTTCCAGAGACCGTCTCATGTCCTCTTAGCCAACCCTTCAGTGCTGGGCGCCTTTCAGCTCCCCACCAGATCCCCACCCACCCTTCCCTGTGCCTGCGAGGCTGACCTGTACGGACCATACATCAGCCTCATTAGGTGCCACCAGCTAAAGACTGGAGGGAGGCGGAGAGGGCGGGAGGACAGGAGGCGGGGTGACTCGCTCCACAGTTCTCTCCAGCAGGCCTCTGCACACGGCCTCCTGGCTCTAGGATCTGTGACCCACCTTCCGCCAGCCCCCATCTGGCCTAGAGGTGGTAGCCAGGGCCTCACTGTCACTGTCACCCCAAACTGCACTGCCTCTTAAGGAACCACACATTTTTGAAGAGTCCCTTTACTAACCTTTGCTCAAAGGACCAAATCTATGTATGCTACCTATTGCCGCTAGGACCCTGACTTGCAGGCCTTGGAAGTATGCACTATTTTTTATCCCCATTTTATAGCTAAGGAACAGGGGCTTAGGGAAGTTATCATACGTAACTTGCACACCTAAAAGAGGTAGAGGTGGCTTCCAACCCAACTAGTGTAAGTTCATCCTTAACTGCTAAATCATTTCCATTTCCCCCGGCCTCACACAGAGGGGCTGTATCTCGGTTCCTGTTGCAGGCAGCAGAAGAGTGAAAGGTGACCCCTGTCCGTTACAGCTGCCACCTGTGCCCTCTGTGTCTGTACCTCTTGCAGGGGAAGCTTTTCCTCTGCCAAATTAAAAACCCACATCCTCAACCCCTTTACGCTGAGGCAGCAACCAGGTCCCCTGGGTACACTGCCCGGCTCTGAGCCCTAATGTCATTTTAACAAGGCAGATTTGGCTGTCTCCCATAGTGGGACCTCCTCTGAGAGATTTTCATTAAAGGTAGAGAAAAAATGCTTTACGAAGTGGTCAAGCAGATAAATATATCAATAACTCCCTACAGTACAAAATCGCTTTCCGTCCTAAGGGTCTCCTTGGTTTCCATTCAAGATGCTTTCTGTGTGCGTCTCCAGTGGACAGCTTCGTGGTTTTTCCAGCTTGAGAGAAATCGGGGTAGGAATTGCCCACATCTTGTTTGGGGGCATCTCCGCTCTGGGGAATCTCTCTCCTTCACCCCCAAACCTCTCAGAAATGAGGACTAAACAAAGGTAGACCACAAAGCAATAGAAAACTCCCCAGCAGGGAGAGATCACTAGGTTAGATGGAAGCCAAGAGCAGAAGGAAGAAAACAAAATAAAGACTTTACATTGTCAGCCAAAACCCCGATGAAAAGCACAGGTCTTGTCGAATAAATACCAAAAGAGGCAGGGTGGCGGATGGAGCAAACCCCCCAGCAACAGCAGTCCTAGAAGCCAATGGCCTTGGTCACTCATCCACATGGCAAATATTTGCTCAGATCACACACAAAACGTGCAGGGCGCTGCAGGACCCAGGGACTGAGTCCTCAAAGGACTTGAGGTTGTGCAGTAGATCCCACCAGAACCCAAATGATTGCACACGGTGGGAAGTTGGGTGCCGTACAATAGGGCGCTCCGGAAGTGCCTATGCAGAACGGGGACGGCTGCCTTGGGGTAAGAAAGCAGGAGCAGGCTTCAGGGGGCCTTGGGGTGGGGACGGATTTGGGCTGGGCAGTGAACTTGGAGAGGACAGGCACGGCTGGAGGGGAAAGGCCTCTCTGGAGAGGGTCCGCACGGCAAAAGCAGGGGCATATGGAACCAGGAAGAGTGTGTCTGGAGAAGACGGCTCGTGAAGGAATCAGCGGAAGATAAGGCTGGCAGCAGAGAGGCACAGGCTCGTCAGGATGTCGCTGGGAGGCTGAGACTAGAACACACTGTGCTGAGGGAAGAAATGGGAATGTGCAAAGGCCCCAGAGAGGAGCCCCCAGCTTTCTTCCTGCTCAGCCTCCGCCTCTGCCAAAGGGGAGCGTGGGGCGGGGGTCTGTGAGCTCTGCAAGGGCAGGGCTCCTCTGTCTTGCTCTTGTGCGTCCGCCGTGCCAGGACCCTGCGCAGCACACAGTGTAGGCGCCATAGCTATTTCTTGATGGGCAGGGGGGGAGGCGAGGAGAAAGAGCAGTATTTGTGGAGCACTCACTGCACCCTGGGTCCCAGGCAAACGCTTTCACACGGATTGCCGCACCCAATCATCACAGCGTCCCCTGGAGTCGGCACTGTCTCACCCAGTTTCCAGGTAAGGAAACTTGAGCTATGCAAGGACACTGGCTAATAAATGGCAGAATGGGGATTGAAACCCGGGTTTGTCTCAGTGCAAAGCCAGAAATTCCAGAGCCCAGAATATAGGACACTTGGAAGCCCTTTTGAATTCACCCAAACACAGAAATCTCAAGACATCACTTCCCAGTATCAGGAGGAAGCCAAAGCCCCTCTCAGCCACAGGGCATAAGCGGGCAGATAACAACTGCCTGGTGGGTACCATTACTTACCTCTAAAAGTGTTAATGAGTAAAGGCGCCTGGCACGAGGGCTCTGTCTGGACCACAGGAAGTGCTTATTAATGACAGTCAGTGGTGGTGTCATTATTGGCAAGACTGAAATAGGATTCGGATTATGATAATGAGGTGGGACCTAGTGGCACGTCTCAACAGGAGTGAGGAGAAGTCAAGATGGTTCATCTGGAATTGCCTGTGCAAATCCAAATATCAGAGAAGAATCTAAAAGTTTTTGATCTGAAAGAGATAATCCAGCTCAGTGATTCCCAATCCCTGATTTTAGAGACAAGGAACTTGAAATCCAGAGAGGTCGAATGCAATTGCAGGAGGTCACACAGTGAGTTAAAGACACGATGAGGGTAAGCTGGGGTCTCTCACTGCCTGGCCCGCACTCTTTCCACCAACCGGGCCTCTCTCCTGACTTTATCTGAAGCCACCAGCATCTGTTCCCGGCCTTTGTCTGGGAGGGTTTGCTCTTTGGGCACCATATGCTCTGCTGGCTGACACGGCTCTCGAAACGTCTCTGCCAACAACCAAATTCCAGCAGGGCTGGTCATCCCCCTTCCAGACAGGCAGGTGCAGGTCGGGGCTCCGCCACCAACCCTTCTGGAGGGAACTTTCCGCAGTCCCTGTGTCGGAGCCTGCCACGCACTGGAAAGCGTGCCTACCCCACGGCCCGCCTTCCTGTGCACGGATCCAGAGCCAACCAGCAGTGCCCAGCCTGCGAGAGGCGAGACGAGGAAGCCTGTAATTATGAATTTACTGAGCAGAAAGGTGCCACGGCTCATTCTCCATCTCCTGTTAGGCGCTGAAATGAGACACAGTTATGCATCTCAAACACTCATCATCCTCGTGTGGGGACGGTGAAATTACTGCGCCCGGAGAGGAGGGGGACCCACAGAAACAATAACGTGTGATGGGAATAACCTGCCTCTCATTTATGCACCACGAAAGGGGCTGATTAGAAAACAAATAAGAGAGAAAAGGGAGAGAAAGGGGGAAAGCAAGGATGTGGGCTCCAGCTGGCCTCACCAAAGACCCCACCAGGCACCACCCCAGAGGTGACCCGGTGGCCACCCTCCCCCCTAGCTTGGGACCCCAGGTAGGCGGAGCTGCCAGTCCCCGGTGCCCCACCACCGGGGCTGCCTAAGGCTGCTCCAGTCTGCCAGAGCTGGAGCTTCCAGAGGGGTTTTCCTCCCAAGACACCAACCCTTGTGAGCAGGGACCCCAACTAGGAAACCCCCACCCCAATTTCAGATCCTACCAACCATTTCACGCTCAAGTCACCATTTAGCTGGTTTCAAAATAAAGTTCTAGAGGTAACTATCAGCCCAACTCTGACTCTTAAAGGCAAGGAATGGGACCAAGTCACCCCCAAAATCACCCTGAAGGAGTCACTGAGGAGTGGACAAAAGGCAGGAGAACGAAAGGCCCTGAACCAAACCCAAATGCACACTGCAGTTTTCCCCTCTTTGAAATCAGATTTTAATTCCTCGTCGTCTCAGGGGAGGTGGGACTCATTTTTAGAAGCTGATAATCATTTTGATTAAAGAAATTGGGGCTGTCTTTGTTTTATGCAGCAAGTTTTAAAGAGCTCAAACTCATTTCCATGAAATAGCACCATCCTCTCAGATTCCTGAGTGGTAGAGAAGAAAGTTATTACAGAATATTTTAAAATAGCAATTACCTCACAAATTACTTTAGAGTTTACAAAGTGTTTTCCCAGATAGTACCTTGTTCTGATTTTACTTTTCATGACAATTCTATTAGACAGATGAAATGTATGTAACTCCCTTTACAGTTAGGGAAACTGAGGCACAAGAGGGGTATGGGTCTTGGCTGAGGTCACACCCAGTCACGTTGGGACTTGGAGAGCTATTCGGGTCTCATTCGATTATTCAGAGTATGTTTCCTAACCCTCTGGACAGAGTCCTGGTTCTCAGACCTTTTGGTATAGGGTAATAGGATTTTCAAAAAAATGTATTCTAGCATGGTGTTTCAAAATTCAAGTCACAACCCACCATGAATTAGGTGGGTCACATGTGTTTTTAATGAAATAAAATATTTTAAAAATTCGTATGCCAGGTAGAAAAAATAAGCATGGCTTAGTGAGACTTTTGTTTCATCTAATATATTGATATATGTATGTATTGAGAGTGATGTAAATGCATTCCTTACTGTTGGTCACTGTGACAGTTTTTA